CAAAAAGAGCATGCCAATCTTGCCCAACAAGAAGTCTTGATCCAAAAAAGAGCCTTGCTTCGTGCAATGGGTGGCGGTGGCCTCGACGCCATGGGAGGCATGGGTGGCTTCAGAGCCATGGGAGGCATCGGTGCACATCCGGCCGCCATGGGAGGCATGGGTGCACCTCCGGCCGCCATGGGAGGCATGGGTGCACCTCCGGCCGACATGGGAGGCATGGGTGGCTTTGGAGCACCCTCCGATGCTATGGACGCCATGGGAGGCATGAGTTTTGCTTCTCTCATGGAAGGCATGGGTGCACCTTCGACCGCCATGGGTGCAATGTCTTTCGATGTGCCTTCTCACACACATTCCCATGAAGATGCCGTTGAAGATCTTGCCAACACCGTAGGAGCTTCACATGATGCGGTGCGTGATGCGGTGCGTGATGAGGAGAGGGAGGAAGATTCATCTTCGGAGGCGGAAGAGTCGTCTTCGAAAGATGAGGACGAAGACGAAGACGAAGACGAGGAAGATGAAGATTGATGTGTCTTTCATGTCTTGAACTTTAGTTTGCATTCGAACTTGGTTGGATGAACTTGTGGGCATGAACTTTTATTCATTAACTTGTTTGTGTCAAATTTCACATGTTCATTTTTGTCCAAAATATCATATATGCAAAATGTCCGGGGAGTCGCGCGCGCTGTATTTTTGCGCTCTACTGGAGCGGCGCGCGCGCGCTGCATTATAGTGCGGCTGCTGGAGCCAGCGCAGGCGAGCGTGCAAAACCAGCCGCAGCGCGCGCGGTAAACAGGTTTTTTGCGCGCGGCGCTTAGCGCGGCTGTTGGAGATGCTTTTATGGAATAAGACTCTCAAGGAGGGACTTATAGTTGTAATATGGTCTTATAGAGACTTATAAATTCTGGGAATCAAACATGTAAGGACTTTTTAGGGATTTTGGACTTATAAATTAGGACTAAAAAAGTTATGAACCAAATAGGGCCTAAAACCAATAAAGGGAAAAAGCTACTCCAAACCACCCTGATCTCTAAGATGATAAGCGTCCAACAAATTACACAAGTGATAAGCCTTCACGGCTTAACCCCTTGGTGTTCTCTGTTGGATTTTTTTTTAAGAGAAAAGGCTCAGGTAGAGCTCAAGAAAAGGCTCGATTCTCGTCCAACTTTGAATTAACAAAACAGCAACCGGTCAGGATTGCAAACAAACAGAACATACAACCATAGAACGAAAATAAATCTGGAATGCCAGATAATTTCCAAGCACTAGTGAATAATAATTTCTTAAAATTAGCATGGACATGCCTTCGCGCTGACGTTCTGTAGCAACTGGACACTCACGATAGGCTCGGAACAGGATGGTCTGACGTACACAGAAACTACGGCAGAGGGAAGTAGGTGCGTAGCAGCCGTCCCTTGCGCATCCAACGGAAGCTGGTGAAACCTTGCCAACAGAACGAGCTGTGTAAAGAGGCCGTGCAGCCCACGAACGCTCTGCAGCCCAGTCGAACGCAGGGGAGGCGGAAAAACACGCAAGAGACGCGGAAGAAAATGATCGCCGGAGGTGACGAGCTGACGTGCTCTTCGATCATGCGTACGTCTCAATAATCAATCTTCCTCTAGCCTTCTTCCTCATGAATTGCCCACTGAAATGGTTCATTCTTTCATCATTACATTGCTTTAGGGCGCAACCAGCAAATGTTATCCCTCATCTGTCCACGGACAGAGAGACCAATTCATGCACAAAGAAAGATAGAAATTTACAATTTACGTACAAAACGATGAGCAGGACACCGACTGGGCCGCATCGTGCTCATGGGCCAATGGCTTTGCTATGTTCCTTCCGGTGTTTACCCATTGCCATTGGATTCTGCACGGACGGTGATCCATGTTGGACGTCCCTCTGCAGTTGTTTGCTGTACGTCAGAGGATCTCATTCCGATAGGCTCATGTCCCGGGTGTCACAGTCACAGCTTACTATACACGGCCGCGGATTTCACTCCACGGCAATTAATTCCTGCCGCCTGATGCACCACTACCAGAGGAGCCCCCTTGGCTTGGGCTTGCTAACCGAAATTAAATCCGGCCAACCCCCCAACCAACCCGTGCAGATAGTCCACTTGAAAATGATATCTCTGCCATTATCCGCTATCAATTATGCTCCCCACAACAGAAAGCAGTAGCACTAGACCAAACGCAAATCGTCCACTCTCGGAAGAGAAAGCACCTCTTCTGATTGCGAAATTCGCACATGATCGAGCGAGAAAGGGAAGAACAGGAAGAATCAATCGAGACTAATTCTTGCAGCCAAACCGGGAACCAGGATCAGACGCTAGCTCCCTCTTATTGTCTTCACAAAGGGGAGATACTCATGCTACTAAGTAGATCATACTCGCTCATCTCGTCGATCATCATCGATCGCTGAAACTATGTACAGGCTACAAGAACGGAGCTCCCCGGAGAAGAAGAAGAGGAGAGGAGTTCTTCGCCGCATCACACCATAGATAGATGATACTACTAGCACTTTCGACTCTCGATTACAACGAGGTTACCAACCAACCAAACGAACGATTTCGGAGGGGCAGGCTAGTCGACGCAGGAGCCGCAGAGGCCGTATCCGCCGCTGCAGTGGGGCCCGGTGCCGTCGCACATGCGCTCGGCGCCGACGAAGACCTTGGTGTCGCGGCGGCCCTTCCGGCGCCTGCCGCCGTCGTCGCCGCCGACGCAGGTGAAGATGATCCACGACATGACGGAGAGCCAGAGGATGATGGCGCAGTAGAGCGCCTCCCCGCCGGCCCCGCCCTCCCTCCCGCCCAGGAACTCCACCGGCGCCGACGCCATCCGATCCCACTCGACCTCCAACCTGAACTCAACTTGCTAGCTGTGCTGTGCGCTGTGCGGTGTCGCTTCTTGTGCTGGGTGAGCGCGGAGTGCGTGTGCGTGTCGCCGTTGTCGTCCGGCCCGTGGTGGCGGGCGCCGGCTTTATAGCCCCGTGCCGGGGGAGGGGGCGGTGGGGGTTTTTGTTGGGCTCGGGCGACGTGACGTCCGAGCGCGGTCGCGTGCCGCCACTGGATGGAGCGGGGTGGTTTTGCTTAGCGCGGAGGGGTTTGGTTTGCTCGGCTCGGCTACCTGTGGGCGCCCTATCGAAGAACCGGTCCAGTTTTTCGCGCGAGGCCACGTCGCCTCAGGTACGTATCCTACTGGCGGGCCTATCCATCCTCGCGTTTCTGCGGGGCTAATCAATGCTTATACTCCAACTAACTATATTTGTACAGTATCGGGTGCGCCTTTGCTGGCCGAGTCAAGCCCCGTGACGCACCTGCTGCAACGATTTAATACGGCGACGTTGACAAGCCGAAGATTTGCTGTAGCGATTGGGCGTTCGGGCTTAAGCTAAGCGACCTGACATAGGAGTACCGCGTAGCAGACCATACTATACAAAAATTACCTCCCTACCTTGAATAAACTACCGCCTTCGTTCTGATTTATTGATCCTCTTTTTTGTGTGTCAGACGTTGGCCTTAATTTTTTTTAAAAGAAAAAGACTTCTGTATCTGGACGATGCATGCAGCCACTTTATTAGTTATTCATAAAGACTTTACAAAATAATACATCAGTACATTGAAGTCAACATCTTGGCGACATGTGTCGCTACTCCTATTCACTTGATGAAGGGGTGCCGATAGTCCGACCTGAATACCAACAGACCTCTTAGCATAGCCTAACATCTAAAACCGGAGACCTCAACCAAGCTGTAAATATTGTGGAAGCGTTAAACCCTTTTCTCGGGCCGCAATTGCATTTATATTGGGGATGTCGTGGCTTACAAGTCTGACGATCAGGAGATTGATCGTGAAGTTACAGGAGAAAGTCGGTACAAGAGGAGATAGACAGAAGTAGAGATAGAAGAGGATTACAAGTTTAAACACTAGTCCTATCTCAATACAACTATTCCAACACTCCCCCTCAATCTGAACCTAAGGAACACCAAGGTTGAGATTGTACTTGAATTCACTGAGCCTTCTCATGGTAAGAGGTTTTGTAAAGCCATCAGCTAGTTGATCACCAGTAGGAATGAATCTTATGTCCAGTAGCTTTCGAGCTACTCTTTCTCTGACAAAATGAAAATCAACCTCAATATGCTTTGTACGTGCATGGAAAACAGGATTAGCTGAAAGATAAGTTGCTCCAATATTATCACACCACAATCTTGCAGCTTGTGGAGCTTTAACTCCAAGCTCATACAGTAATGTCTGAATCCACATCACTTCAGCAGTACCATTTGCTAGAGCCTTATACTCAGCCTTAGTGCTTGACCTTGAGACTGTAGCCTGTTTTCTTGCACTCCATGATATAAGATTTGATCCCAGAAAGACAGCAAATCCACCTGTAGATCTTCTATCATCAGGACATCCTGCCCAATCTGCATCAGAATAAGCAGATACAAGCAAGGAGGGAGACTTGACAATTTTTAGTCCAAGATCTCCTGAAAAACTGAGATACCTCACAATTCTTTTAACTGCAGTCCAATGAACAGTGGTTGGTGCATGCATGAAAGAACATGTGGTGCCCCCATGTTTGGTTTTGGTAATTGATGACAATCTCTATGGACTAATGGTTGCCTTGAGTTATATTTGAAGGTTTTGTCCATAGGCTTTTCTTGGAGTACATGTGTTGGTTTCAAGGAGAGTTTGTGTCGACCAAGGTGCTATTCAAGGAATTATCCAAAGATTGGTCATTTGAGAGTTGAGCTTATTGCAAGCATGTCTTGAAGAAGAAGATTGTGTGATCATTCATGTTTACCTTCAAGACATCATCCAAACGAAGAGAGTTGGAAAGATTCAAGGTTGATCTAAGTCAAGAGTGAGTCAAGTTGATCAACTCACAAAGAGTAGAAGATGTACCGAGAGGGATCAAGTGATCCCATGGTATGGTAAGCATTGTCCATTGCACTTTGTGTACTAACTCATGGTCTATGTGAGAGTCCATGTGGGGTTAGGTACGTGTCCATGGGCTTGCGTCAAGAGGATGGTATCATACAACCCATGGGAAGGATGACATCAAGTGGTGATCGTCATCAAGATTGCCGTGTGCAATTTCAAGTGGAGAATCACGAAGAGATCAAGTGCTTGAAGCTTGCCATCCATTTGGTGTCAATGGACTTGTGAAGATGTGCCGAAGAGTGGCTCACCCATAGTGGAGTATGGGGGAGCAATCATCTAGTCTTCATCGACCCAACGCAATCAAGAAAGGTGGTCCATCTTGAGGAGGACAAGATCGTCATCATCTAACTCAAGTGGATCATGTGCAAGGCATAGGTTTGCCCTTGATAGGTTTTCTATTTTACCGGTCTCATGGTGGTAGTTGGGAGACCGGGTTATAGGATCGATAGCCGTACTATCAAGGGGGCTCTCAAGTGAGTAGCTTGATCGTATCGTTCGTTGAGAGCTCAAACCATTGCTTCCTTGCATAATCTTTCTTGGTTCTTATTTGGTTCTCTTTGTGAGTCTTAGAGCTTATGGTCATCTTGATGACAAGCTTGAGTTCATCGAAAACGGAGTTCGCATGCATCTTCTATGATGTTTTCGGTGTTGGAGGGTTTACCGGTCTTTTCCGAGGAAGGGTTCTCACCATTTTCTTATGGGACTTTTCTCATTTTCTTCTTATTGATATTTCTTTGAAGATTGTGTTAGCCCTTGTCGCTAGCTTTCCAACAAACTTGGTTTCATCGAATTCGGAGTCCGTTTGCAAAAGTAGTGGCAGTTTTTGTGTTCTGAAAAGGCTGCAGCGGTACTACCGCGAATTGGAGCGGATGTAATTTTTTACTACCGCTCCAGAGCAGTGTTGGGGAACGTTGCAGAAAACAAAAAAATTTCCTACTCGTTTCACCAAGATCCATCTATGAGTTCATCTAGCAACGAGTCATCGGATACATCTACATACCTTTGTAGATCGCGAGCGGAAGCGTTCAAAGAACGGGGATGATGTTGTCGAACACGACGTGATCCAAATCACCGCTGACCAAGCGCCGAACGGACGGCACCTTCGCGTTCAACACATGTACGGGACGGGAGACGTCTCCTCCTTCTTGATCCAGCAAGGGGGGGAGGAGAGGTTGATGATGATCCAGCAGCACGACGGCGTGGTGGTGGATGCAGGGCGTCACACTAGCAGGGCTTCGCCTATACTACGAGAGAGAGAGAGACGTAATAGGGAGAGAGGGATGCACCAAAGGCTGTGGTATGAAATCCCTCCTCTCCCCCACTATATATAGGGGTGCCTAAGGGGGGGCACCGGCCCTAGGAGATGGGATCTCCTAGGGGGGGCGGCGGCCTAGGGGTGGGGGCTTGCCCCCCAAGCAAGGGGGCGCCCCCTTTAGGGTTTCCCCTCAACCCTAGCCGCATGGGCCCTAGGGGAGTGGCGCCCCAGCCCACTTTGGGCTGGGTCCCTTCCCACTTCAGCCCATGGGGCCCTCCGGGATAGGTGGCCCCACCCGGTGGACCCCCGGGACCCTTCCGGTGGTCCCGGTACAATACCGATGACCCTGAAACTTGTCCCGATGGCCGAAATAGCACTTCCTATATAATTTCCTTTACCTCCGGACCATTCCGGAACTCCTCGTGACGTCCGGGATCTCATCCGGGACTCCGAACAATATTCGGGTTACTGCATATACATATCTTCACAACCCTAGCGTCACCGAACCTTAAGTGTGTAGACCCTACGGGTTCGGGAGACATGTAGACATGACCGAGACGACTCTCCGGTCAATAACCAACAGCGGGATCTAGATACCCATGTTGGCTCCCACATGCTCCACAATGATCTCATCGGATGAACCACGATGTCGAGGATTCAATCAACCCCATATGCAATTCCCTTTGTCAATCGATATGTTACTTGCCCGAGATTCGATCGTCGGTATCCCAATACCTCGTTCAATCTCGTTACTGGCAAGTCACTTTACTCGTACCGTAATGCATGATCCCGTGACCAGACACTTGGTCACTTTGAGCTCATTATGATGATGCATTACCGAGTGGGCCCAATGATACCTCTCCGTCATACGGAGTGACAAATTCCAGTCTTGATCCATGTCAACCCAACAGACACTTTCGGAGATACCCGTAGTCTACCTTTATAGTCACCCAGTTACGTTGTGACGTTTGGTTAACCCAAAGCACTCCTACGGTATCCGGGAGTTACACGATCTCATGGTCTAAGGAAAAGATACTTGACATTGGAAAAACTCTAGCAAACAAACTATACGATCTTTATGCTATGTTTAGGATTTGGGTCTTGTCCATCACATCATTCTCCTAATGATGTGATCTCGTTATCAATGACATCCAATGTCCATAGTCAGGAAACCATGACTATCTGTTGATCAACGAGCTAGTCAACTAGAGGCTTACTAGGGACATGTTGGTGTCTGTTATTCACACATGTATTACGATTTCCGGATAACACAATTATAGCATGAATAAAGACAATTATCATGAACAAGGAAATATAATGATAATGCTTTTATTATTGCCTCTAGGGCATATTTCCAACAGTCTCCCACTTGCACTAGAGTTAATAATCTAGTTACATTGTGATGAATCGAACACCCATGGAATTCTGGTGTTGATCATGTTTTGCTCTAGGGATAGGTTTAGTCAATGGATCTGCTACATTCAGGTCCGTATGTACTTTACAAATCTCTATGTCTCCATCTTGAACATTTTCACGAATGGAGTTGAAGCGACGCTTGATGTGCCTTGTCTTCTTGTGAAACCTGGGCTCCTTGGCAAGTGCAATAGCTCCAGTGTTGTCACAGAAGAGCTTGATCGGCCCCG